CCTAGTCAAAAAATTGGAAAAATATTTTTTCTTTTTTTTATTCAATAAAAATTAGTTTATTTATATTAAAAGACCTCAAAACCTAAAATATTATATAATACATTATCAAATTGGGCTCAGTCTCAGATCAGGTTTTTTTTTTTTGAGAAAGCCTGAGCCTGGCCCAAAAAAGGTCGGGCCTGGTGTTTTAGGCCCAAGCTCAGGCCTGTGGGCTTAAAATCCTGTTCAAGCCCGACTTAGATCGGGCTGGACCAGGCCGGCCCATTGGGCTACCCAACCCATGAACAGGTCTATTCAGAACTAGCAGAGAGTTCACAAATGAGAGAAGAAGCACCAGAAACTGAAATGGGAATTTGAACTTTTATCAACAGATTGTCCTTGACCAGACTTCTGAATTACATTGGACAAATTTTGCTTTTATCTTCTAGAAGTGTGATGAAAGAATCTTGTATAAATTAGCAAGGATATATGGAGGAAATTGTTTGTTTCCCCACAATGTTTCTTGCAATCTAAACAGTGGAAGTAGTTCTATAAATTACTTTTCTGAACCTCAACCAAAGAGTAGCAAGCTAACAGATCTAATAAAAATGACTAAGACCATGGGGTGTGAAAGGGAGCTCAGACTGGGTATTGGCAGACTCATCCATCCATTGTCCATGGAAGGAGATTGCCAAATACAACTCATCCATCATTGATTGAAGCAATATGGCATCTACCTTGTTTTTTAATTCTCTCTTTTTTATTTTCATTTTTTTTTTGGTGAGTGGTGGGGGTGAAGAGGGTGTTAATCATAGGATCTCGCTTTTATAACATCAGTTCTACACTGCCGATAAAGCTGTAGCATGAAACTTTGTTCATGATTTGAATTCTGAAATGGAGAAAGACCCAATAAACTGATGAAGGATAAAGATGTTTCTACTATCTATCAGTGATCAATTGCACTACTCAAAGTTTGGACCTGATCTTACATTCTGAGATCCATTTATGAAATATATGTTTTTACAAATAGTGGAGTTATAAATGGAAATATAGCTGCCAATGCTAATCGGTAAACAAGTTTTTGACAATTCAAGGTAGTTTTCCAAATGGTCAATGTATTTCAGCTACAGCATGGATAAGTTTTCTCATTCGACTGTCCCAATTTCTGATCATAAACTCCCATCATACCAGGTTATTTGGGACCTCCAGATCCAACTTAGAAAACATTGAGTATTCTATTGGCTTGAAGGAGAAGTTATCATCTAGATTTTCTCTGTCACATCAAAGAAAGAAGAGATCCAATAAATATCTATCACACAAGAAAAAAAAATGTTAAGATACACCACCCACATCCTTTTTTGGACACAATTCACTTCCATCCCATCTACATTCTTAGATCTCTGTATCAGGAGAGATATTTACTACAATTTGAAACCAATATGTTTCCCAATTGTACCCCCTTGTAGTAAGAGCTATAAATACTTTTACCTGTTTGTTACTGAACATGGATGGCATTAAGCTCAAAGAGTAGTTTGGGGATTTTAAAAACATTAAACAGTTAAATGAATTTAACTGATGAAAACACTTACAGAAAGGGTCTTTGTTGTAAATTAAAGTATGGAATCTTTGTCACTAGGGGTCCTTTTAATTTATCCAAAAAAAAAAATCAATTTTAAGTGATTAAATATGGGTTGGAATTTATTACCAAAAAAAGATATGGGTTGGAATGGTTCACCACACCTGATCCATTTCCAAAACACTGAAATAGAACACAGCCCATAAAATATGAACATCAGATTAATGGCAAAACATTTAATGCACCAGCCGGGAATCGAACCCGGGTCTGTACCGTGGCAGGGTACTATTCTACCACTAGACCACTGGTGCTTGACATTTGCCTTTCTGCTGAATATTTTACAACAAGTAAAGTAGAAAGGTAAAATTCGATGTCTGATTCCTGAACAATTGTATAATCTTTTTATGTTAAAAATTCTGTGTCATGATGATCAAGTACGGTTGCATCTCACAAACAACCGTGGAGGTTATGGTGCTTTCGGTGCTCTCCATCTAAACATTCGTATTCATTTGGCTGAATTGTTTGAGTTTCCAATTCCTGTTTTCCTAAATTGCATCCACTTTTGTTGTCAAGGTGGTGACAAGTGACAACCTGCATTCATTAATCCCTTTTTGCCTCTCTGTGATCCTGAAACCGGGCCTTTTGTTTTTGTCATGGTTTTGAAAATCGGACTGGTTGATCTAAGAATCGATCATGGCTCTGGGTCCGATTTTTGTATTTTAAAACTATCTAATTGGGTTGGGTTTTAGATTAGGGGTCCGTATGGCAAGTTTTTTTTTTAAGAATATCTTCTTGTAGCTCTGATAGTTAATAGGCATATTGAGCTTTTGATATAAGATTTGGGCAGTCCAGAGACCGTTTGGCAAGTCTTTTTAAGAAGATCTTCTCGTAGCTTTGATAGTTAATAGACATATTGAGCTTTTGACATAAGATTTGAACAGCCCGAAGACCGTTTGGTATATGCGCATCTTTTCGTGCGTCGTTTCGTGTCTTTCCGCATGAGATTAAAATGTGGAAGGCACGGAAAGCTTCATTTGGAGCTTCCTGAAATCAGCTCAAAATGGGCTTCCCGTGTCTTTTTGGTGCCCCATCTTTTGGTGGCGAGATCTTCCACGTGTCAAACAAGAATAGATCAATTTTCGGTCTTCTCGGCTTGTAAGCATACAAAAGACCGTGTGAAAAACACACACCAAACAGGGCCTAGATTATTGGACCATTTGACCCAAGAATCGATGGTCAAAACAATTCAGTTTCCGGTCTGATTTTCAAAACCTGGGGTAAGCTATAAATAATCACCGCTCATTGCTTACAATCATACAAATAAAAGACTTCAGATCTCCTGCCCACGAGAACCCTGTCCATGCCTAAATAATCCCAGGGTTTTTAAAATTGGACCGGATAGGGAACTGTTCTGGGTCCAATTCCCTAGTTGAATGGTCCAATTCGGTCCGAATGGATGACCTACTCTGATAAAAATATTTAAAATTTTAAAAAACAAAAAAAGGCTAAAAACCGTTGTTTGGATGAATGGTTTGATCACTTGAGTCAGCGGTTCACTTGGGATCCAATTGCACCCCTTGTTGTGTACCGCTTCAATAATATATATACACTATGAATTCAAGGATTTCTTTAAAACCTACATGTGAAATGCTGGGCTGAACAGATTAAAAGAAGAATGCCACCAGGTCATTACATTTTTTAATTTAAAATGGAGAAACGATTAACCGTTCTATAAAAACAAGAAGAAGAAAAGAAAAGAGACATGATACCATAATAGATTTGGGCAATCAAACACCCCCACACCCTACCCCTTGAATTTGATAGATAAATAATCATGATTGGTTACCAGTTTTATGATACTAGTTGATTGTTACAATCAACCCAGTTTATAATTATGTTTTATTGGTGAACATTTTTTTAGAACGAAACCATTAATTGTTATCCACTATTATATCGATCTCCACAAAAAACAATCTGGGGCGAAATTTGAGAAACCTTCAGCTCAAGCATAGGATAAAAAGAGGCATTACTAATTTTACAAGAAAAGGCTGAAAAACCAAGGGTAACAAGGCTTCCTGTCAGAAAAGGGGCAAAACGCAAAAACATTTTAACTCAAATTAAAAAGTTAAATTAGATGTCACTATAAATTAGTAGATACCATACAACCAATTTACACCATACCATATAGTTTATGGAGTAATCTACACAATTGATCATAAGGTTCTGTTTGGAATGAGTAAAAATACAAATATATCTAGTACAAATACATACAAAATAATAGAAAATACAAGGTTCTGTGCTCTACATATTTGTATTTGCACTCCTTCTAAATGGAGCGTAAATGTCTAATTTTTACAATTTATTTGATAAACAAATTGAAAAAAAAAAGACTTTGGCAATTGAATATAAAATTCAATAAAAATTGTAATAAAATAATTTAAAAAATAAAAATTATTATTTTATTGATAAAAATTAAAAAAAAATCATACTTAAACAAATGAAATAACAAATTATTACAAAATGAGCATAGCATCAAATTATTTATGCAAACTAATAATCTATTAATTCCCATACTAGTTGTGGACAAAGCCTAGAGGAAAACTTTGGCAGAGACATCCCTTTGCAGCGAAGCACGGTAGCAGAGGAGAGCTTCGGCGATAGAGAATGCTTTGTTGTAGGGTTTAGGAGGATGCGTGTGATGCATAATATAAAAAAATGAAGTATAAACGGACTTCTTCCACGAGAAATTAGCATTGTTGATATTTTGGGATGTGAACAAGACCGATCCACGATATAGTGTGAACTGAACCCATCCACGCTCAACTGAACAACGTATTCACCCCATGGTATGAACCAAAATGGTCCATCCATGAGATGAACACACTTCCAAACACCACCTAAGCCTTCTAGCTTAAATGAAAAGCTTATTCTAAATTTGTCACATAGACAATGGTTCAAAAACAATGTCCTATACAAGAATATGTGGTGGTCATTAATTATTTGTAATTTATAAAGATGGATTTCAAACACCGTCATTAACAATGTTTTTAAAACCAACCCGGAGAACAAACTGAACTGGCTAAGGGTCCAGTTTCTAGGTCGAATGGTTCAACTGCCCAGGTCAGTTGTTTGTTGACCAAATCAACATTCTTTTGCCAAAATCCGATTTTGGGGAAAAACAGAACCAGTCAACCTAACCGATTCCCAGCTTTTCTGGTCTGACCATCCAGTCTGGTCTGGTTTTGAAAACCATGATCAGTAACCTTCTCGCACAAAGATTTGGAAAGAAAAGAGAAAACCATGGTAAAAAACAACATTTGGCGTGTCAAGTATCAACATATTGAAGGGCAATCCCCTATCTATTATATAACTTCTAGGGAAATCTCATGCATATTCTATGCTAGATATTCAGAATTCCCAAGAAACCATACGGAGGAACCAGAAATGAGATAAACATGAACACAACTCCACAAATCTAAACCACAGTTAATGTAACCTAACAAAGTCTCTTAATCTGTAATTGTAAACAATGAAAGGGCCGCAGTTGTATAACTTTCTGCAGGGTTTTACCAACAAAAAGATCCCTGCAACTGCAACGTTTTAAGCTTTATATGAGTCATGAATTATTGTGGTCCAATAAAAATTAAAATATGCCAGAATCTGAAGTGTCCTGGCAAATCACAAAATCAAAAAAATTCAATGGTGTATATCTTCATATATCAAGAAGCAGTCTGCGAGGATCCTCCACAACATCCTTGATGCGGCGTAAGAAGAAAACTGCCTCTCTTCCATCAATCAGCCTATGATCGTATGTCAATGCAATGTACATCATTGGCCTTGGAACAATGTTACCTCCAACAACCATTGGCCGGGTCACTATTGAGTGCATACCTAGGATAGCCGACTGCAAAATACAGATAATTTTGAGATTCTCATTCATATCAAAAGGGAATTTTAGTTCACTTTACTGCCATCAATTGGTCGGGCTGAGTTGGAGTAGACCCAATAAGTAAATGTGCAGAACTAGTTCCAAAGAAGACCCTATAGGGTCTCTAATCGGGACTAATTATTATTTAGAAATAAAACTTGATTTAATCTCTTAAATTAAATAACAAATTTATTTATCAAATAAAATAATAACCTAAATTTACAACATAAAAATGGGTGTCAAACAAAATTTATCAGAATATATGAATAAAAGAATATCAAAATACTAGCCCCGCGGGGGTCATTCTCTAGTCATAATTGACAGTTAAACTTTTAACCTAATTTTGCAATAAACCTACTTATTTGTTAAATTGACACGTTTGGACATCATAATATGATAATATTACAAGTATATCATGAGAAAAAAATAGGTATTAGAATGGGTTTATTTTTGTAATATGCCAATATACATATAAATAAAGCAGATCTACACCCTATTTAATTGGGTTGGTTTGGTTCAGGTCTGCCCCGGCCCACTGACATTTGACAGTCCTAGTCAACTGATAAAGAGATTTGAGCATGTTCAATTTAACTGAACAGCTAGGCATAAAATAATTCAAGAAAATGGCTTATAGCCACAAATAAAGGAAAAAGAGAAAAAAAAATTGCCCATCCCATAAACCAAGTCAGAAGAAGGGTAACAAAAGATTACCTGTGGGGGGTTAATAATAGGAGTGCTTAAAAGACTTCCATAGACCCCACCATTGGATATGGTAAATGAGCCCCCTGCCATCTCATCAATTGATATGGTGCCATCATTAGCCTTCTTTGCTAAGGTATTGATCTCCTTCTCTATCTCGGCAAAGTTCATCTTATCTGCATTGCGGATAACTGGAACCACAAGACCCTTGAAAACACAAAATGCAAATATTAACTCAATATATTTCACACCCATTCTAACTTTGTTATGCAAAACAAGCTCATATTGACAAACTGCAATAAAATTGTCTAGTTTGTCAAGAGAAACAGGCACATATGTTGTGCTACAGAACGAAAATTAGTTGTTCTCAGTGTTTTCAAAGGAGTAGGAGGCGTGTGCCTGGAGGCGCTGACACCTCTGAGGCATACACCTCAGGTGCAAGAGGCACACACCTCATACGTTTTTTTTTTCATGAGGTGTGCTAGAGACATACGCCTCGTGCACCTCATGAAAAAAGACAAAAAAAAAAGAAAAAGAAAGAAAAAAAGAGAAAAAAATGAAAGGAAAAGAAAGGGAAGGGGAAGAAAAAGAAGGAAAAAGATGAAAAAAGAGAAAAAGAAAGAAAAGAAAGGGAAGGGAAGATAAGGAGAAAGAAAGTGCTATGCATCTTCATTATTCTTAATATAAAAGATTTTTATTAAAAATAAAGAAATATGAGATTTTTCTTCCTCTTCTTCCTCCTCATCCCCCCTCCTCTTAAGGAGGCTTACACATCTTACATTCTGAACTACGCCTCACGCCTCTAAGTAGTGGAACGTCTCCGCGTTTTAAAATATTCTTGTTCATTTTGGTTGAGTTCAAGGTTTCAAATTATGTAACTTTAAAGTAGCTTTTCCATTGCATCTCAGGCAAAAAATCTTTTCTCTTTTTAGCAGTTCAGTCATCAAACTTGAAAATTTTATGGAACAACATTGATTATTGGCTGGTCCACAAAATAACATAATGAAGAATGGATCAATAGTAGAGAAATTACATCAATGAGTCATTCACAAACCTTAGGAGTACCAACAGCAATACTGATATCAATATAATCCCTATATATGATATCATCACCATCAATGACTGCATTGATAACTGGCTGATTCTGGAGCCCACTGACAGCAGCCTGAAACAAAAATTAATATTATAAACAGAAAAAAAAAATCTATAGATACATGCATCATACAATTTTTTTAAGTAATCAAATATACAGATTACAGTATACATAATATTATATAATTACATACAACATATTATATTGTATACAAATTTGTGTAACTGCAAATTTCATTGTGTGACACATATTACATACTTTCACAAATCCAGACATAAGTCCTAGCTTCACACCATGCTTTTCCAGGAAAGCATCTTTATAATCAGAGCGCAGCTTCATCAGGTTGGTCCTGCATCATTCAGGAACCCATGTCAAAACATGCATAAATGTTGGTTATGTTCTATAAGCCAACTTATTCATGCAATAAAACCTAAACTTTAGCCAAGTTAATAAAACAGGTAATAGCAAACCACACTAAGAATATGCAGACATGACCATTTCAAATTTTAAGTGAGAAATAATGTTATACATTATCAATGAACTTACATATCAACCTCATTGAATGTGGTAAGCATAGCAAATGTGTTTTGTGAGTCTTTCAAACGTGTTGCAACCCGTTTTCTAAGCCTTGTCATAGGAACCTAGAATCAAGATAAATTGTCAAATATTAAAACAATATCAACAGGATTTCTTTCTAAATCATGTTAAGGAAATCCAAGAGTCGTGAGGCTTACACGTCTTTCCCTTTCCTTTGGAGGAAGCTGAGGTTCCTTAGCTAAGGCTTTTGGTGGTGGTGTCTTAGCCTTGTCCTTAGCTTCTGCTTTAGGCTCTTGTTTGGCCACACTGACTTCTTCTGGAGGAGGAGATGACTGAGAAGCCTTCTTATCTGATTTCTCCTCTGATGGAGCAGCATGAGTAGCACCTTCACCAGATTTTGAAATAACAGCAATCCTGGTTCCTGGTTCCACAGTATCACCTTCCTTGGCAACAAACTACAAACAAAGAGAATATAACTACATTCAGGACCATGCCTGATTTTCAATAGCAAGTGAAGAGAACATAAATAACTTTTAAACCAATATGCCATTAACTGCTAATGATATTTTACCTTCTGAATGACTCCAGCTTCGGGACTGGCAACATCAATGGTAACCTGATCACAAAATACACAATTAAAAATATGAGAATATCCTTCTCCCATGATCATCAACAACTTTTGAGTATTGCAACATCCAAGTCATAACCACCATTATTTCAACACTACAACATTTTGTAGACATTGCACCATGATAAATACCTTATCAGTTTCCACTTGAGCAATTGGCTCATCAACTTGTACACTATCACCAGGTTCTGCTCTCAATACATTAAATGCAATGAATTTAAGAGCAAGATATTATGTATATATGTTTGTGTGAATGTGTGTGAAAACTCAATCGTATACAAGAACAATGAATAGCACTTGTTGTTTATTAAGAATCATAAACATCTGTCAAGAGAGCATACTCTTCAAAAAATTTGCAAGAGTTCCATCAGTGATAGATTCACCCATGAATGGGACAACCGCATCAACCAAATCACCTTCATTTTACAAAAATAAGCATGTAAGACAATGCTGCTTGAGAGAAATGCTAGGCCAGAGACAGAACATGCATGCATATATACATAGGAGGATAAATAGACATACATACAAGCATGCATGTATGGGTATGTGTTTTCACATGCCTTTTAGTTTGTAAGTATTTTTGTATTCATTCATAAATCTATGCAAGAAAAAACTATTGAACATGATAGCTGTCATACCATTGTCTGAAGAAAATGATCTACACCACACTCGAATGGGACTACCTGTTTGTATAAATGCAACAAACTCCCTGCATATTTACCATAAAAGATTTTGAGGGAGAAAAGGGGAGAAAGAGACACTGAGGAACAGAATTTAACTCCTGTAAAATACACATTCTTTTCATTATCATTTCACATGGGTAAGTGTTTACTCCAAAAGGAGAAAAGTCACATAAGTAATATTTGCAATATTCAAAATAAACTATCTTCGTATCAATACTATGAAACATGATCTTCAAAAGATGAGAATACAATGCTAACCTTACAGGCTTCGAACTAACTGAGCCACCTGTACTAACACAAAATTTATAAAATCAGTTACCATGAATGTGTATACAAGCACATCAATGAGCTGACAAAAAGCAATTATTTACAGGATTACCAGGAAGAAAATGGCAAGTGAAGTTCTGAAGCTGTCTAGATCCTCTTTTAAGGAGTAATGCCTGTGCAAATACTAGTAAATAAAAGGAAAAAGAAGCTTTGGAGAAGCAAAATAACAAACAATAATCAAAATAGATAAATTATGTGGCACAGTGCCAAGGAAGCTATGGGTAAATCAAGAATATAATATAAGCATAATTTACATCAAATCACAACACTTAAAGTAGCAACCATGTGCTCCTGTCCCCGAATGGTCTACCTTCTATCTAGATGATCTCTAAAGGGTTTACATACCGACAGAAACCTTTGTCTGCAAGAAAACTGTTTTCTGGGTAGGTATGAACATTTTGTTAAAGAGGCGAGCCTCTTTGTTTCCAAGATAAAATTCATGCTCTATCAGATATACAGATCACCCAATGATGATACTAATTTACTTATTTACTTTGGTTGGTAAATGGGGAGCCCTATGTTTTTATCAAAGTGAAAGGATAAGAACAGGAAGGTACAAGGAGGGGAAATCAAGCCAAGCCCCCACTGCTATTAAGAAAATAGCAGCAAACAAAATACAATAGAAACTCCACAAAAAAAGGGTCCACCGCAGGTCTGCAGAAGAACAAACCCCTAATACAGCTCAGGCCTGTCAGTTCAGATATGCAATATTGTTCTGGGCTTTCTTTCAAGGAAATTTTGGAGGATATTTGGTATTTATGTAATTCTGTCTTATGTTTTATTTTGTAATATCAAGTTATGTTGAGGGCTGCCTATCTATTATTCTATTAATTGTATATGGCTAGTCCAACAAGCCAACTGGTAATATGAGTTGTCTGAGAAGCCATCGAGTATGGGCTAATTTAAGCCACTGTTATTTTCTGATTGAGACAGGAAAGATATAGACTGTGCCACTGTGGGATGTACAGGGGTTATAGATTCCATCTAGGGATGACCATTGTCCAGTCCAGGTTGGGTTTTTATGGGGTAACAATTGCATTTAGTGCTGCCCAGGCCTGAAAATATATATGTCCGAGCCTGGGTCCAGACCAGGCTGGGCATCCTGGCTTGCCCATATAAATTAATAAATTAACATTTTAAAAAATTAAAATTTTAATTTAAGTTCACAATTAAAATTACGGAATATATATATACAGGAAATATATATTACAGAAAATATATATAAAACTCCGGGCAGTGGGTCAGGCCTGCAAGAAAAAGGCTGCCCAGGTAATATAGATACAATGTGTGTTTGTGTGTACAGGAAATATATATATAATACTCTGGGCCAGTAGGTCAGGCCTGGAAGAAAAATGGCTGCCTGGGCCTAGAAATTTCTAGGATGGAACAAGGAGGCCAGGCTATGCGAGACCATACCAAAATGATCAACAATAATCCGAGCCCCTAGATCTGCTTGCTTTCATCTTATTCCCATTTTCTGCTAATGGATTTATGCTATTCTCTCCCCAGTAGATTTATGATACTGAAATGAACCACATGAACATTGTGTATTTATTTTTCTAGTTATTTTATTTGATGATTTATAGCTTCAAGAAGAGTCTTTAATATCCAGTTCTCTTCAAACCTGAATTGGTATGCTTTATAAAACCTATGATTGCCCACTTATACATGATATGATGGAATCAGATTGAGGGGCTATTATATCATAAGAACCGCTGCTTAGAATATTACTATATAAAAAGTTCAACCATTTTGTTATTCATGGAGGTAAGCTAAAACTAGTTCCAGAAAAAAAAAATAATAATAACAAGAACATGGGGAAATGAATAAACAATTCAACTATGGATACCTCCTTTCCTGCAATTGTGTAACTTCTTGATGCAGACACAGCAGGACGAATCCTATGCAATGGCTCTGCTAAAATCTGACACAAATGCAGATGAGTCCATGTGATCAAAATACTTTTCCACTAAACTCAAATCAATACGTAAATGCATACATAACCAATGAAACAGAATAAAAGACAGTTTAGGTTCTACCGAAGCACATGATCCACCATAAGCAACTTTTCGTCTTATAACCCCCCACATCATCACTCTTTTTCCCTAGAAACCAACCTAGAAATCCAAAATATAAACAAAACAATCTCAAATTCGTCCACCATATTGCATATCCGTAGAAGGAAAAAATATTACAAATATAATACCAAGTTTTAATTTATGGAAAGGTTTTGATCTAACAATCATAACAATCATCTGTAGCTTAGTTCAGAACCAATGACTGGATTATTTTTTATTTCAGCCATTTGGAACCAACAGTAGTTCCATGAAGTAAATAACATCGAACACTAAACAGATTAAAGAAACCAAAAACAATTAATTCCAGGAATGATGTAATAAGTATAAGAACATAATAGATTTAAAAACAAAAAAAAGGGGGGAAATCATGAAAGGTGAAAAATAAATTATTAATTCACCATTAAAATAGATCTACACGAAAGAAAATATGACCTCAGTTGTGGATTTTGGAAACATTATCAGATCTTAGAAACTATAACATCTATGCCAGATGCCATCCACATTAATATTCTTCGAGAGCACAGAGGAAGAGTGAGAGATCAATAGGATGTATTTTTATCAGATTCTACAACCTTATTATTTAGAAAAACTAACCAAATTTCATTAGAAAAAGAAGTACATGAGAAGATGTACAACACAGAGAGGGAGCCCCAAAAGCTTACAACAGAGAAAGCCTATCACTACAAAAACTCCAAAAGAGCACCAAATTTAGCTAAGTCATCTGCAATAGGATTTAGCTCCCTTGGAATCCAAATCAGGTTTGCATTTAGACAATCCAAAGAGTCCCTAGCCTTTTCTCAATAATGACTCAATCTCCATGGTCCACCGTACTTGTCTCTTAGCCATTTTATGGTATTTGCTGAATCACCTGCAATAGTTCAGTTCTGAAATTCCAAGTTTTTCACTATTCTAATTCCTGTGAGAGCAGCCTCAGTAGAGTCGGCAAAGCCAATCAGACCACTGAAGACCCAGCAGATATTGCCCCTTTCATCCTTTATAATGCCTCCAATGCCAGCTAAACCAGGATTGCCTGAAGCGCTTCCATCAAAGTTTAGAGTCACCACTCCTTCACAGATAGATACTGGCTTTCTCAAGATAGCTAGAGGAGAGTGTGGAAGGAACAGAAAAGTATGAGCACTTTCTGCTAAGGTCATTAACTGATAGACCTTTGAACAGATCCAATTAACAGCCCAAAGATTACAAAGGTAAGTAATATCAGAAATTAATTCTTCAAGGGATTTGGTCTTATTGTCAAAAGGCACTTGTTTCTTTCCTCTCAAACTTCCCACATTACTGCATGCAACACCCTCCCCCCCCCCCCCCCCGAAAAAAAAAAAAAAACCCTTAAAAAGATGAGTGCCATATTAACTACTAAACGAGCGAGAGAGAGAGATCAAACATTCCATATCCAAATTCATAAATCACAGCATACCTTTTAGTTAATAATTGCAAGACCTAATTTATTCTTGTCATCATCGTGGTAGTGGTGCAGAACAAGAAAAGGAACGAATAGATATGAAAATTTACTAGTTTTTTTTTTTTTGCCACTGGAGGTGTGTGTGGTGGGAGGGGGGCTCAAATGTCTGACATTTAGTGGATTCTCATTACACAACACAGTAAACAGTTGAAGAAAAAAAATAATCTCTAAGGCTCAATTTGGAAGGAGTAAAATACAACTACGTAGACCATAAAGCCTTGTTTTTGTGTTGTTTTGTATGTATTTGTACTGTACATATTCGTATTTGTACTCTTTCCAAACTGAGCTTAATGCACACATAGAATGTTATGCATCACACACTTCATTAGCATATTATTCATCATTATACTGCAAAGGAGCTGGGGATAACCTGTTAAGCCAATATAAAAAAGTCAATGAGAAATGTTACAAATTGTGTATATTTTCCAGTAAAAACCCACAAGGGTCCTAGAGCAAATGGGCCTGTGACTTTTTCTGCAACTAAAACACTCCTATGTTTTCGAGAAGTTGTTGAAATTGTGATATACACTACATATTTGTAGATCGAAACATTGATTTGTGTAAACTGGGATTTGTTGTGTGCATGGAGAATTTTAATGGATTCAGATTGGAATTTTCCGTCTAGGCTGGCATATTGACAATACTCCTTAGGTTTGAAGAGGACTTTTCCATTGAGCATGAACCACATATAAATTTGTTTGTACCATTAGACATATATCAGGTAGCGTGAAAACTTCACTAATGGGAGAATCTGCATTAAAATTGAGGAAGAAGCTGGAGAAGATGATACACGAGACCATTGGTGATTGCAGAAGAAGTTGAAAAAGATGAAACGAAACTGTTATTCTTAATGGAATTGTTCAACGTTCAACCTATGATGAGCCATGTAGTTATAATTAGGTGAAGCTTCTATTCCGATTATCAATCAACAACGAAAAAGACCTTTCCAAGAATAGTAGTTAAAACAAGTTCCCAGTTGATATCAATAAGAAGGCAGATGATTCAGGCTTTTCAGAAAATGGAAAACCCAAGCAATAAAAGGATCATGCTTTGACTCAAATTATTTCTTATGAATAGCTCACACCATATTGTCAAATTTGTGAACAGGCTAGAAGCAAAGGATTTCTTAGAAGATTATTGGGTACAAAGACATCGAATGATCGTGTAGCTGTTGCATGCGAATAAGCGTAAGAGAATCGCCTGGGGAAAGACACACAATAGCTCGTAAGTCCTCTTGCATAAGACCATTTGTTTTGTAGGTCTCTTTCACAAGACTTTCCCATCAAACATTTGTTGTCTCTGTCCGGGGATGCGAAGAATCGAGGACCTCATAAGTAACACCTTAGATTATTCGACTTGGGATACCGATCGAACGTTGGGTGAAATTGTTTTGAGGGCGACATGTTGATTGAACAGAAGCTAGTAGAGAAAATCCACCCGACCTCCGGTTGTGTAAAGCGTGGAGCCAACCTTTGACAGAACAGAGAAGAATAGGAACAAGTAGCAGGAGAGAAGATTCATACCTGAACAGGGCGAGATCGACGCCGGTGCTTCTGCTCTTACTGTAAACCTAGCACCATAGGATGGAAAAGGCAAAGATGGCGGTTTCCCCTACCCACTGTTGTTCGTTCATGCGTGTGAAGGTATCGCCACTCGCCCGGACCAGTTCACTTCGTCAAAAGGCTCCGGGAATCTGGATGCAAGTCTCTGCCGAAGTCCGAAAAATGAACTGAGAAGCGTGAGTTGGCGGTGACGGGATCTGTTCCTCACAAATGGGCGCCTGACACGCACATCCACCGTGCATCGGGAACATCTCTCGTGAATGAGGACTAATAAATACTCTCAATGCATGGTTGGATGTACGTGTGAGGCGCCAGGTGTGAGGAGCAGATCTGATCTCAAGTTGGCGTGCGGGGCGCAACTCGTCGGACGTCTGGTCAAAATTCTAGAATGCAGTATTCCATATTGAGCCCTGTACTTACGGTGGTAAACTTATTGGCCCTCAAACTTTATTTTGCGAGAAAGGCCACCCTGAACTTCTAGATTCCAGCATTTTTGCCACCCGGCCCATAAGCGGGGAGATGGTGAAAAATAAGGATATGTTTGGTTCATCTGGAACTAGAATTGAAATCAACCGAAAATTTTCAGTTGTGTATTTGTTTTGTTAGTATTGCTTATTATTATTTTATTTTTATTTTAATTGTATTATATATTAATATGTTATCTATATATTATTATATTATTTAATAATTAATGCATTTATATTTTACTATTAATTAAATAATAATTTTTATTGTCTTTTTATTATTTTACTATTGATTTATTAATATTAGGGTTTGGTTTTTTACAGGGAGGGGCATAAAACATGTTGGTTAGGATTTTAAGAAAATTAAGTTAAAAAAAGATAAAAGATAAAATGGTATTATAAAATCGGGTAAATTACAAAGACGTCATGTGTTATGGGGTAAGTGAGAAATACCCCCTATATTTTCATCTATGACAAAGATCCGTTGAACCTTTACATTGCAAAAAGACCCCCTTCATTAGCATTCCACAAGTTAACTTGGAAAATGATTATCATTTAGTCATTTAAAGACTTTTAAATCCCAAAACTACTTTTTTTATTATTTGTCTATATGATTAAAATAGCTTACAATTCTTAAAAATATTGGTTCTCATATGATTAAAATAGCTATCATGGAACATGTGTACATAGATTCTTCTTCTCCAACGACAACGATAAATATATATTCACTACTAAATATTCTTCTATATCCGAGAATGGTGTATTGGACATCTCTTCGCCAATGAAATACTGGCAACAACATTCGATAAAGAACGTTGTAGAGTTCTCATCAAATGGTTATCCAACAATATGTTTGTATAGCTTAGGCTTTGGGAGAAAATCAGAAAAATTGAGAAGAAAGAGAAGAGGAATGGCTTTGCTCGTTTTCGACATTCTAAAAATTTCAGTTCACATCCCCTTGGCCTTGAATTACAAGAGGATAACTCAGTGCCTTTTGTCAGCTAATTTAACGGTTAGGGGGTCTTTGTCGCAATGTAAAAGTTTACGGGGTCTGTATCACAAATAAAAGTATATGGGGTATTTATGACCCATAAGAGTAGAGGGGAGGGGCCTTTGTAATATACCATATAAACTAAGTATAGTTTGAGTGTTTAAGAGCTTGTTTGGTTCTGATGTAACCGTTTTTTGGTCACGTACCATTTTTTTGTGATGTATAAATTTTTTTGGCTAAGTACCTCGTTATTTGACCTGGTGGTGACGTGCCTTGGTGATGAGCTACTTGGTGGCGAACTCCCTGGTGGAGAACTACCTGGTGGCGAGCTCCCTGGTGGAGAGCTACTTGGTGACGAACTGCTTGGTGGCGAACTCCCTGGTGGAGAACTGCCTGGTGGCGAGCTCCCTGGTGGCAAACTGCTTGGTGGTGAGCTCCCTCGTGGCGAACTGCCTGGTGGACTCGTCATTTGACCTGCTCCTAGGCGGCCTGTAACTCAGAGGATGGTGGAGCTCCCTGGTGCAGCGCAACCCGACTACCCTCTGCATGAGGTGATTTCCTCTCCTTTGTAGGCGGCGGAAGCTGAGGGACCTGCGAAAACTAAATCAGAGGACCCGGGGGTATTTTCCCAGCGGGGACTCTCCGATGCCTAAGTTAGCATTCTGATTACAAAGAGCTTGGAGAGAAATGAGAGAGCTAGAGAGCAGGGGTTACCATCCTTTTTTCCCTCCCCTTGGCTTTGGGGGTCAGAGTCCTTATATAGTGATGTCCTCGCGGGTTAGGTGGGTGAAAAGCCTTCAAACGGTAAGACTCGTCATATCCCATCAGAATCGGGGTACGGTGGTGAACTCCTCGAGGTTGTCAGGCTGGCGCTTGTGTCAGACGGCCAGGTCGGTGCCTGTGTCAGTCGGCAGGTCGATGTCTGGGCCAGGTTGTCAGGTCGGCGGGTCGGTGTCTGGACCAGGTTGTCAGGTAGGAGATCTTCCTGCGATACGCCAAACTACTATTCTGTACCGAGCTACCCTACAAGTGGCGAGCTGCTCGGGGGAGCTATGTCGAGCTCCTTGGGCTATGCCGAGCTACTTGTGGTGAGCTTTGTCGAGCTGCCTAGTTCATTGGTGGCGAGCTCCTTGAAGAGCTGCCTAGCTCTTTGGTGAGCTATTGAGCTCCTTGGTGAGCTACTGAGCTCGCGGGGTATGCTGTTATGGTTCATTGATGGGCGTCTTATGGGTTGCCAGGTCGGATCATGTACCGGGCTGATCCAGGTCGGATCATGTGCCGGGTTCATCCAAGTCGGATCATGTGTCGGGCTGATCCAGGTCGGCCAGGTCGGATCATGTGCCGGGCTGATCCAGGTCGGCCAGGTCGGATCATGTGCCGGGCTGATCCAGGTCGGCCAGGTCGGATCATGTGCCGGGCTGATCCAGGTCGAATCATGTACCAGGCTGATCCAGGTCGGCCAGGCCGCGCAGGTCGCGCCAGCTAGCGCGTCAGGCCAGCCAGGTCGGTGCCCCGGCGGGACACTGACTTGGTAAGTTGTTGCCTGGGTGTCGCCTAGTTGTCACGAGGTGCCACATGTCACAATTTCACTGGAGGGCCAAATCTACCCTCATCAGGTTCCTTAGACATTTTTTTGCATTTGCTTCATATATATATATATATATATATATATATATATATATATATATATATATATATATATATATATATATATATATATATATATATATATTTCAAATAATGCTCAAAAACACCTACACCTTGCAAAATATATATAAGAGCCATTAAGTTAGGGGTGAAAGTTGGATAACTGGTTTTAAGGCTTTACACTACATCTCACTCGAGTTTTGGAACTGGGCCTGTTCAACTTTTGATAAAAACCCAACCCAAAACCCACACAAATTGCACCCTTTCATTAGGGGGAGGTTTCAAAGTGGTGTTTTGTAGAACACTTTCTCATTGGCGACCATGGCCTGCTTAGTTGGAACAGATGTGGCAAATGAAAGATTTGTTAAGATAAATCACGATACACCAAAGGAGATTGGCTTTAGTGCTGGCACCCTTCGCATGGCCTTTTACAACCATGCATTAGGAATGTTTCCATACTTATATATTTTTTTTCGTAGGGAGATATTCCGAATAAAGGGTTGCAAGGCTTGTGAGACCAAATCTGATTTCACACCAAAGCCATCATGCATCATGAATTCATGATTCCAAATACACAAAAACCCTACTTTCTTCAACGTATTCGAAGATGACTGACGTTGCCTCCTTGTCGTCGTTGCCAAGTTGTTTATATTTGTAATCATTCACACAAAATGTTAACCCTACAAAGATTGTTGCCAGCAATGCGTAAATGGCAACAATGGTCACGAACAAAAATAAGTGAAAATTTTTTACTTAATCATGGTTTATTAGGCATGGCCTTTGTTTTGTGAAAGGGTAAAATATAAAAATCTCTGGTAAGATTTCTGACAATCATAAAAACCTTTCCTAAAGTTTCATTTTAATAAAAACGTCTCCTATAAATTTGAAAAATCCTATAATTATCTCCTTTCCATCATTGTCTCAATTCATTACCAATAAAAAATTTGCCCTTACTACTTTTTAGAAAATCTTTTAATATAACCAAAATACCAGATATACCCCTTTAGACTTCACTCGATCATAAATTTTATTAATTAAAAATTAGAAGTTTTTTTTTTTGAATATCTTAGTAAGTCTCCATCTGAATTAATAAAATAGGTATTTTCAAAAAAACTAATACATTAAGCCAATATTTTCTAAATGAGATAATGATGGAAAGGAGGTAATTGCAGAATTTTTCAAATTTGTAGGGAAAGTTTTTGTTAAAATGAAACTTCAGAAAAGATTTTTATGATTGTTAAAAACCTTAGGGAGGTTTTTATATTTTACCCCATTTGAAAAACGCCAATCATAAACAGCCACGCTACCAAATAGGCAAATACTTATGAAATTTGACGAAATGTTAACAACTGGGGTAAAGTGCTGAAATTCAAAAATTCAGGGATCTTTTATCATAAGACAATGTTCAGGGAGTAACTTCTGAATTCTTTAAATATCTAAGCAATTAATAAAGTCAAAGTTGACGGCTACAGGGGCGAATACTAGAGATTTTTGTTTTGTAAGAAGACTAGAGATCAGACAACCCAACCCTGGAAGAACTAAAAAAAATAAAAGAACTCACGAATAGGTAAAACTCATATATATATATGATACGTGGATCTCATTAGGGGTGTCCATAAAAAACCGAAAAATCGAAAAATAGAACTGAATCAAGAAAATCGAATTATAAAATGCGGTTAACCGAATCGATCGATTCGGTTTTGGTTTGGGATTTTTGAAAAATCGAATGATCGGTTTGGTTTTTGGTTAAACTACAAAAAAATCGACCGGCATATATATTTTATATATATTTTTAATATATGTCACATATTTTCTATGTATTATATATAAATATATATATTCATTATATATATAAATATATACCCATATTATATTTATAATGATCTATTTATAAATATATAATATATATTATAAATATAAAAAATCAAAAAACCGAAGAATCGAATCGGTCAAAAACCAAAACTGGCAGACCGGTTAATCGATACCACCAGTTCGGCTTACAAAAAAATGCCATGGTTCAGTTAACCAAACTGTGAACACCCCTAGATCTCACATCGCACATCAAGAACATTTTTGTGGGCTCACTATACAAGTATATCTTCGTGATCAGT